GCCAGGTGTAGGGCAGGCCAACTCGAGACTGCAGGAGCCAGATGTTATTTGCTGCTGATGCCATGGTAACCTGCCCCGAGTTGGTTCTGCCCCAGGTGCCCTAAGTGGGAACTGCTTGGTCTTGGCGTCCGGGCCTGGGCTTGCCTGCTTTGAGGCAGGCTTCCGTCTGCATCTGGAGCCAGGCAGTTCGGGGTTTGTGAGATGCATTATTGATATGGTGATGTAGTTTCTAAAACCAAAATTGGCCTGACGTGACCGAGTATGGGAACAACAGGCTGGAGTATTTGAAAGTGGGCCATCTTGGAAGAATTCAGCCGTCCTCCATCCTGTGACTGGGGAGCCCCTTCCCTGAGGGCCCTGAGGCTGGCCACGCTGCAGCATCTGGAGGGACTGTTTAAGATACTCCAAGCAAAACTCCCCAGGAGGCGTAGTGTGGTTTCTCCAGAAGATCCTGACTTCCTGTCCCCTTATTTTGGTCTTGGCCAGTGCTTGGCTGCGCAGTGTGGCAGTTTGGTAACACTGCCCTGGCTTCATGGGACTCTGCAGGCTGGTTTCTGGATAGTCTCTTACTCTGCCCTTTGACTTGGGTATGATGTCACTTGGTCTCCTGATTCCCAGGCTCATGAAACCAGACTGCTGAGGACCTAACTGCCCCAGATTTGCCAAGCCCCTAGGGGATGACACTTTTTTCTTACCCCCCCCCCCAGTGCTTTTTTGCTCATTAAACGACAAACACTTCCTCGCTTCACACATGTGCGCATGCACACACACACGCAGAGAGAAAGAAACCAAACGATAAAAAGCCAGAGAAACTCTTTTTCTGATTATTTTTCCTTTTCCAGACAGGGACATCGATATATTTGAATCATGGGCCGACAGTAATTAAAAAGCACGTAACTAGTCATATTAAAATGCAGTTGTTTTACTTAACTGATTTTGCCGCTAGACCCAGAGCGGGGGAAGAAAAGAAATGGGGAAAGAAAAGCTTAGAAAGGGAGGCAAGTTTCTGTGAGTGACTGGAGGCAGCTGAGGGCCCTGCTTGAATCTAATTGCTGCAAATGCTGCAGTTTGTTTCTGGTAATGGTTTTCTGCTGAAAGGGCTGGGGGACGAGGCCTGATTGGAGGGGGGTGGCGTTTGTTTCAGCTGCATGGGGGGTATAATTCTGCTTTCGGGACAGGGTCTATTTTTCCTTACCATCTATCAGCATAAAGCACTTCCACTGAACACTTTGAATCAAGGTTCCATTTAGAGATACTTTATTCATATTTAATTACAGGCTGCAGCACCAATCTTTAATTACCTTTTTTATAAGCCAGCTAGGAACATCCACTAGCAATCAATTATCATGTGTGTGTATGTGTGTGTGCTTGCTTAAGCACAGGAGGGTGTGGGCGTGTGACTTGCTTCCTGATAGAGAAGGAAAAGATGGCTGCAGGGACACTGGGGAGGGGGTGGGGTAGGGTGTCTGTGTGACAGGTTTCTGGTGCCCGGTGAGGGGTGCATCCTCATTCCCCATGCCTGTCTTTGTTTCTGCTGGTGGTACTGGGGATGTGGGCAAGTCCTCACAGCTGGGTCTTGTTCAGGTGCTGAGTTGGCCACTGGGCTTGGGTGCTATCTTGAGGCCCCCTTGATTCCCCTGGTGGGGATGGGGAATTGTGGGAGGCCTCCTTCATATCCTCTGGGGATGTGGTGGACCAGACTTCCTCTCACCCTAGAGATTAGGATCTGCTCGCCTCAGCTCTTTCTTTTCCTCACCTCCCTGCGGGGTGCTCTTGGCAGCTGTTCCTGCTACACAGCCCTAGCGATGCCATGTCACTCTTCAGTTGCAATGACTCTGCAGTGCCCCTGCAATGACACGGGCTTGGAGACTGGTTGTCCTTCTCAGACAGTGAGCACATGTTCCTGGGAGTCAGGCGGTGGCTTGGGGGTAAGGAGTGAGGCCAGATGACCCCCAAATCCCTTTTCAGTGGGAAGATTGGGCCATTTTAGCTGCCTGGGAGATGAGCGTGTGAGTTCACAGCTCTGCTCCAGAAAACCCTCTGCTTGGTGCTCCTTCAGGAACTCCAGAGAGCTTGCAAAGGGACTTGGTGTTGATCTCATTATGTAACAGTTGGGGACATTGCCGAGGCTTTACCTTCCCTTCCATTCCTGGGTCCCTGTCCCAGCAAGGGGGTGGGGAGGGGACAGAACTCACACTTACTGGGTCTCTTAGGGGTGCTGGGCACCACATCTGTGTTTTTTTCACTTATGCCTGCTGGGGCCTGAGAATACTATGTCCATCAGAGCCGCTTCTGTTGTGTGTGGCAGAAAACTGAAACTGACCTAAGCAGACAAAGGAATCACAGGGTCGGTACTCAGGCATGGCTGGATCGAGAGGCTCAAACATTGTGGCCTGGGTTCACTCCCTCTGTCTCTTGGTACTCTGCTTTCTTCTTTGTTGCTACTATGTGACCCTCAGCAGTTCTACCCCAGGCTTATATTTTTATGTTGAAGTTCCATTGAGAAAAACATCCCTTTTATATCAAACAAAAGTAAAATGATTGAGTCTGATTGGACCAGTTGAGTTACCTGTACATCTCTGAACTAATGCACATGGCCACAGATATTCAGGGTCCTGATTGGCCAGGCCAGGGCCTCACACCTGCCTTGGAGGAACAGGTGTGCTTTTTCTATTTTGGAAAGCTGCATGTTTGAGGTCTTTGGATTCATAGGAATGTGGGAACAGGAAGGTTTAGCCATTTCAAAGGGAAGAAAAAGTTGATTCAATTCTTCTCCAGTGGAATAGTGGATTCAGTCATTCAACAAATTTGTTTGGCACCAACTAGTCCCAGCCGTGTTCTAGGGGGTTGCAGGGAATTCAGCAGTGAACAGAACAGACGAAAGTCTTTGCCCACTTGGAGCTGATGTCCTAATGGGGTTTATAGGGATGATGATCCCATTGTTTCCCCATCCCAAGTCCAGGCCCAAGATAAAGGGTTCTTATGCTGAGAAACTCAGGGTGATTGGGTGGATGACAAGGGAAGAATTTTGCCATTGGGAGTCTAGAACTCACGAAGGAGAAGAAAAGACAAGTGTGTTTTTGGGGGAGCAGGGAGAACCAGACGCTGGGAGAGATACAAATAACAAACCAACCAGGATGAAGGGGGCCAGGGAAGCGAATCCCATACCCATCTGTCCTGACAGAGAAGCGTAGGCCTTTCCTCATGTGACCTGGGCCTTTGGTCTGGGCAGGATGTTGATAAATGGGCATGGAGTTTAGTGAAAGCTACAACAATGATGACAGGGCTGGAGGGAGTGATTTATGAGAGGAGTTTAGGAAAGTGATGGTGTAGCCTAGCAAATGGGGTGGGATGGTGGCTGTGGGTCATGTGACATCTGAAGTCCAAGGAGAGGGGTGGAGGGGCAGGGCAGAGTGGCTGCTGCAGTAATGGGGACTGAGGGAGGAAGGGCTGCACAGACTGAATAGACTTCAAAGCATGAGGGCCTAGGAGGGTGGGCCAGGAGAGCAGGCATCTATACATGCTTGTGCGTGTGTGTGTGTGCATGTCTGGACTTCCCAGGATTGTGAGGCTGTACAGAGGCTTAAAGAAATGGAGAGGATTAGGATGTCAGCCTTGGCCAATCTTGGAAAAGACCTTTAGGGGCCTCTTTCCTAGTTGGCAGAATATTTGGATCTGGACCATGTAGGTGTGACCACTCAAGTCAGGGAATTTTATTTTCTTGAGGAATATTGGTATGGCATTTCTAAGAGGGAAGGAAGAAAAAAGAAGGAAGAGAAAGGAGTATATTTTCCACTTCATAGAAAAAGAAAGGCACAGAAAAGGCAAAGGGCTTTGCTCAGGCCTACTTTGAGTGGCATCGCAGGTGATGACCTAGAGCAAAGTTCTGGCTTGCAGCCCTGGGGTCTCTGCTCGAGTGGCCAGGCTGGGAGTGGACTTGGTGACCCACGCTGAGGCTGCTGCTCAGGCAGGAACAAAAGGTGGTTGTTGGTCTGGGGCCTCCGCCCAGGATTCTTTGAGCTCCCCTGGTTGGTAGAATGGAAACGTCCTCTGTCTGATCCCTGTCTGGGGCTGAGATACTGGGCTGCCCCGGGCCCACGTTCTGTTAATGCTGGATTGTCCATATGTAAGAGCCCAGGAGGCACAGCGGTGGATAGTGCAATGGGCAGATAAAGCTCAGTTCTGAACAGCACTTCTTTAACCTTTGATGGAGGTGCTTAGGGGCCCGTGCGCAGGTATGAGGATGTGCCTTCCATGCACATCTTCTGTCCCCCTCCCTCTATATGCCTACCGTTCGTGAATGCCCAGCAGCAGAGGACCAGGCAAGACCTGGTCCTGGTACACAACTGATAAAGCAAAAAATCTGTCCTCGGGGCTGGGTGCAGTGGCTCATGCCTGTAATCCTAGCACTTTGGGAGGCTGAGGTGGGCGGGTCACTTGAGGTGAGGAATTTGAGACCAGCCTGCCAACATGGTGAAACACCATCTCTATTAAAAAACACAAAGATTAGCTGGGTGTGGTGTCACACACCTGTAACCCCAGCTACTTAGGAGACTGAGGCAGGAGAATTGCTTGAACCTGGGGGGCGGAGGCTGCAGTGAGCCAAGATCATGCCACTGCACCCCAGCCTGGTCGACAGTGCGGGACTCTGTCTCAACACACACACACACAACACACACACCACACACACACACTTTCTCTCTCTCTCTCTCTCTCTCTCCAATCTGTCCTGGGGGCAGAGGCTGCAGTGAGCCGAGATCATGCCACTGCACTCCAGCCTGGTCTATAGCGCGGGACTCTGTCTGTCTCAACATACACACACACACACACACACACACACTCTCTCTCTCTCTCTCTCACACACACACAGACACACACACACACACACAAATCTGTCCTGGGGGCACTAGGCAGCCCTGACTCTGGCCCGTCTTCTTGACTGCCTGTCACTGAACTGGGTCACCTTTTTAATCATTCTGTTCTCTCTCTACTCCCGACAGATCCATGATTTGTTCCAGAGCTTCGATGACACCCCTCTGGGGACCGCCTCCCTGGCCCAGGTCCACAAGGCAGTGCTGCATGATGGGCGGACAGTGGCCGTGAAGGTCCAGCACCCAAAGGTGCGGGCTCAGAGCTCGAAGGACATTCTCCTGATGGAGGTGAGAACCCTCCCTTTCTCCTTCCTGTGTCCTCTGTCCACATTTCCCTGGGATCCAGGCTGCCTAGATGGAACTGGTTCAGGCTGGTGTGGAGTGTGGCCCTTCGAGCAGCAGAGTGGGAGAGGAGAGCTGAGATCACGACAGAGGAGGTGTTATAACAGCTCCGTGACCACAAAACCCTGTGGCAGCTTGGGTTAGTTCTTGATTTGTCCCTGGGAACTGCCTGTGATAGTCTCAAAACACACTGAATGGCTGCTAGGGGCCAAGGGGACCTCAGGGGAGGGATGTTGTAGAAATGAGCTAAACCAAAGGTGTGTTTTTTTGTCTACCAAAGGGGTAGACAAAATTACATCTTAATTTGTTAAATTGTAACAAGAGGGAGCATGTGGTCAACAGGGATATAAAAATGACATACAGATCACATAGAAATATCTATGCAGGTTGCAGGTTTGCTTCTCTGGTACTTACTTGGAATGAACAAATTCACCTGTCTGAATGGTCCTAGGAAAACCCTTAGTGGACTTTTCTAGCTCTGTGCTCAGAGTAAGGGCAGAAGAGGTGGAGCGGCCACTGCTTGAGTTAGTAGCCATCACCCCCCATGGGGAGGTCAGCAATCTGTTTAATTTGTCAGTATGTCCCTTTCTTTCCTTTTCTTGTTTCCCTTCCTTTGCTCCCTTTCCTTACTCTAGACTCTTATTCTTTCAACTCACTTTAACCAAACTTGATGCCTATGTTGAGGGTCTTCTGCACCCTCTGCTAGGTGGGTGCTGGGGACACGAGAGTGAGTGAGCCCCATCTTCATCTTGGGACAATCCTCATTTAGTGGAGACAGGCATGTAAACAGTCACAGCGTGTTTGCACACTGCCATGTAGCACTGTGCCTGGATAGATGGGGCACCAAGGGGGCTGCAGCAAGATGGTGACTATTGAGATAGCCAGGCGGTGGAAGGACAGCCCAGCGAGTGTGGGGGCCTGACTGCTTGGAGGACAGAGTGTACTTGGATAACTTCAACCTGTTCCAATGGTATGAGCTCAAAGTGGAGATGAGGCTGGGAAGGTAGGTAGGACAGAACACGGGGGGTTTGTATTCCAGGCTAAGGCATAGAATGGTATGCATGGCCAACACTCACTACATATTTGTGGATCTGAGCAGATCTGAGTTTTTTCCTGTAGTCATTGGGAACCATTTAAGAATTTTAATTAGGGGACTGTCATGATCAGATTTGCATTAGAAATAAAAATCTGTTGGGAGTCTGGAGGATGGATCGGAAGGCATAAAGACTGTAGCCAGGAGATGAATTGAGGGGCTGCTGCATTGGTCTGAGAGAGAAATAATGATGTGAAGTGAGGAGTATAATGGGGGCAAGGGAGATGGATGCGTTCAAGGGACAGAATAATCAGGATTTGTGACCAGCTTTACACATGGGGAGGGGGCAAGGACTGGTGTGAATGAGAAGGAGACAAATATCTTAGGTTTCTGGCTTAAGTGCTTATGTTTAGGCATATTTAACTCTATACAGTAGTTCCCCTTTATCTGTGAAGATACATTCCAAGACCCCCAGTGGATGCCTGAATCCTCAGATAGTGCCCAACCCTATATATGCTGTTTTTTCTTATACATACTGATATGGTTTGGCTATTTCCCCACCCAAATCTCATCTTCAATTGTAGCCCCCATAAGCCCCACGTGTTGTGGGAGAGACCCGGTAGGAGGTGATTGAATCATGGGGGCAGGTCTTTCCCATGCTGTTCTCGTGACAGTGAATAAGTCTCACAAGATCTGACGGTTTTATAAAAGGGCAGTCCCCTGCAAAGGCTCTCTTGCCTGCCACCATGTAAGATGTGCCTTTGCTTCTCCTTGGCCTTCTGCCATGATTGTGAGGCCTCCCTAGCCATGTGGAACTGTGCGTCCATTAAACCTCTTTCTTTTATAAATTATCCAGTCTCAGGTATGTCTTTATTAGCAGCGTGAGAACAGACTCATACACATACATACCTGTGATAAAGTTTAATTTATAAATTATGCATAGTAAGAGACTAATAATAAAATATAATTATAAGATATAATTATAATAAGAGTGAGGTGAATGTGGTCTCTTTCTCAAAATGTCTTATTGTATTGTACTCACCTATTTTCAGGACACAGTTGACCTTGGATAACTGAAACCTTGGAAAGCAAAACTATAGAGAAGGGGGACAACTATTTGTCAGTCAGGGTATAGTTGGTGAAAAGAATTTGCTCTACGTATTTCAAACAGGGAATTTAACACAGAAAATGGAGTTTACAAATGATGTAATGGCCAAAAAGCCAAATGGGATGGAGAGACAATTGCCAACAGCAGGAAGCCAAGGCCACCCTCAAGGCAGAGGACAAAGAGAAGATGTAGTTCTCTAGATCCCAGGGCCAGGGACCACAGATAGTAGCTGAGACTGTGGTGAGCTTGTTCCCTGGGAGCCAGATCACAGACATAGGGCCCTTCACTTGGGAGTGGGAGCCACAGATGCTGTTTGAGGCAGAAGAGTTTCCATCTCCTCTTGCCCCCCAGTGTGCTAGTATCCCTCAGTGTTGCCTCTGGGCAAAACCTAGGTGGCAGCAAGTTGGCAAGGGAGCCTGGGAAATGGAAGTTCTCAAGAGAGTAAGGGGATTGGGATGCATCTCAGAACGAAGTGAAATGGTCAATGCAGCAACCACATAGGGTAAAATAGTGCTCTTGGCAGTTTTGGATAAGAATATCCCTGTTGGTCTGGAGTCCAGGCTGGAATACAAATTCGGCATTTATGAGTAAAGATACTCTTGATAGATGAATCTGGGGGAATAGTGGAGATCACTCAGAGAAGGTATATAGAGTTTAAAAGACAGCAACAAGAAGAAAGAAGGCAAGGGAAAAAACTGTGCAAAACATTGTTTGGGGGTGAGCCCAAGAGGATAAGTTCATGAATGGGACTAAGAAAGCATGATCAGAGAGACTGGAGGAGAACCAGATTGTGCAATGCTGCTATATTCAGTGGAGAAAAGTTAAAGATGAAAACACTATATTAGTTATCTAATGCTGCATAATGAGTCACCTCAAAACACAGTGGCTTAAAACAACAGTCATGTGTTTTGCTCATGAATTCGCAGTTTGGCCAGGGCTTGGTAGAGAAACTCATCTGTTTTATGCAGCACTAGCTGGAGTAGCTTGACTGGGGGCTGGAGTGGCTCATTCCCTGGCTGGCAAGTTGGTGCTAGCTGTTGTCTGGGAGCTTAACTGGGGCTGTGGGCCAGGGCCTTAGTTCCTCTCCGTATCAGCTTCTACATGGCTGCTTGGTCTTCCTCCCAGCATGGTGGCTGAGTTCTAAGAGCAAGTGACCCAAGAGAATAAGGCTGAAAGTACATCACAGTTTTGTGACTCAGCCTTGGAAGCCACATAGGATTACTTCTTTCTTACTCTTTTGGATGAAGCAGTCACAAAGGCCCCCTTAGTTAAGTTCAGGGTTGGGGAAATAGACTCTACCTCTTAATGGGAGAGTGGCAGGGTTCTAGAAGTGAATTAGAATGGGAGGTACTATGGCAGCCATTTTGGAAAACATAGTCTGCCAGAATTCCTCAACGTTGTCAAATGGGAGATCAAATCAGTAAAGCACTGGAAAGGGTATTTTGGATTTGGCGATTCAGGGTGGTTAGGAAGAGCAGCTACAATGGCCTGATCAGGGTGAGAGGGAATTGAGACTGAAGGAAGTGGAGACTCTTCATGGAGAATGTACTCTTTTCAGATATTTAGCTGTGGAAGGTTCGGGAGAGTTAGGGTAGTGGTCCGAGCGGAGCATAGGATTAAATACTGGGGAGACTTGAGTGGAATTGTAGCTGATGGGGAAGGGGGCAGATTAGGGGATTCGGCAGAGAGAAGTAATTGCTAGATCAAGTCCTGAGGGAGATTCAAGTGACTGGGAATGAATAACACAGGTGAAAACCTTAACCTTTGTTTCAAGCCCAGTGGAAGGTGGGAAGGCTGGGTACAGATGAGTGTGTGGGGCAGAGGAGAGGGGGAGGGAAAGTGGGCAGCAGAGTGTGTAGCAGCCTGATAGCCTCTATTTTTTCTCTGAAGTGGGAGGCAAGACCATCTGCTGAGAATGAGGGGGTAGAAGGTAGCATTGGAGACTCGAGGTGGGTGAAGGTTTGGAATAGCTACTCTGTGCAGTGGAAAGGGGGCTGACCAGGGCAGGAGAGCAGGGTTGCCGGGTGGCCCTGAGCATCTACCTACAAACCTGATTTTTCTGGCACACCTGTCAGCAGCTGTGGAGCAGCCATAGCTGGGAGAGAACTGGGAGACTTGGAGGATCTCAGGGTTTCCTGAATCCCAGAAGCCACTCCTGAGTCAGGCAGGAAGCTGCCTCTGCGTAGTAAAGCCATCAGGGCCCACTTGGACAGGGAGGACAGCTGTCGCTTTTTCTCTGCATTTTCTTGCTGCCTCCCTAAGTGATAGTTGCTGTAAGGTCGGAGCAATAATAGCAGTAATAAAGATTTGGCATCTTCCTCCCTGAGGTAAGGATCACATGCTTTTCTTGGGAAGCACAGCCTGGCAGGCTGTGTGCAGAGTACAGAGTGGCTCCTTAGTAGTGGCTGAGGCAGTTCTGGGGCTGGGACCACAAGGCAAACCGGAGACCCACACTCATACCCTTCAGGAGAACAGCCGGAACAGAGGCCTGAGGCCACCACCCCATGGACTGTCAGGATGAGCAGCAGCACTGGGTAACACTGCCATCTCACTGGGCTTCATCTCTGGTGGGAAAAGTCCTGCCTGGGTCCTTCTCTGGTGGAAAACCAAGAAGCTCGTACTTGAAGTGGATATTTTGTTTTTCTGTGTTGAGACCTAAATGGTGTCTTATATTTAGGAATGACAATCCCAGAAAGGTATTAAGCATTCTTGGCCTGAAGAATGACTTCTAGGGGACATTTAGGGCTACCAGAAACTTAGGGACAGAGAGGAGGCAAAGCTACTTTTCTGCATACCCTCTATGTC